TCAGTGGGTTCGTGACATAAGGGGTAAAAGAATCTTGAGGTCATGGGGCTTCCCCTGACCTAGATTCTATCTCTCCGTCACCGGCAAAATCGCTGATTAATGCCTACATGGTGGGTATGAACTATGTGAGAAGGCGGGTTCGGAGAACCCTCGCCTAATTCTCAGTCAATGATCAAAAACATTATCTTGAAACCTTATTTTCATCAAATTTGTTTGGTGAGGAGCCCAAGTTTCTCAGTGAATTAGACAGTTTGTGAAACATTTCATTTAATTTTGTGCATATTGTTTGCCAATACATCTGATTTAAGTTTGTTTTTGAGATGAAATCAACACATATTTTGAAATTTTCTCTATGCGAAACTGTGGTCAAAAAGTTGGTCAAGAATGAAACTTTTCATCTGACTGCATTGTGCCACGAAAGCTTGTGAAATGCAATGTCTGAATTATCGCTGGATTAATGTATTCTTATAAATTACATGTTATGTTTGTGTTATTGTTTACAGGCATCATTTGATGTTGGTATACCTGACATGGCTGATTTCATTGAGATAGGACAGGTTCATGCCATCACAGGTATGATACAATGTCACAATAATTAATTGCTTTAACTTTATCTACATGATGATGCAGGTGGAAAATATTTCCTACATCAAAATGTTGAAGCAGCATAATGACTAATTTGCATATGTAAGCAATGTTAATTAATTTTATGTAAAACATGTTAAGTCACCTAATGAGTGAGCATGGTATAAATTTATCAGGTCAATTATTTTGTTGTTATAATAATATCATGCACATAATATCATCAACTTAGTTAGATATCTATCTTTGGTTGAACAAATATTATTTTTTTGTCAATGTTTACATTAAGTGCATATTCTGAACATCAAGTTATTTTTTTAACTGAATTTAAAATTTTGAAAAAATCAGCTTATGTATCTTTCAACGCCATTATTGTTCCCACCAAAATTTTGGGTACAGCATTTTGTTAATTTTTATTTATTTTGGATAATTTCATAGTTAAACCTAGACAAAATTAACCTAATTTACCAGTGCTTACACATCCAAAAAATTGTGCATGTTTATTTTGTGACTTTGGCATTCAAAGGGTTAATTGTTGCTGTATTTGTGAATTCCTGGTAACAATCGTCTGTTTGATATTGTCAGTAACTACCGGTAGTAGGTTGTACACCAAGCAATTACAATACAAAATATAGCTGCGTTGCAGCAATGTCGGGTTTCGAGCCCCGTGACTTATTAGCAGTGTTCCAAAATCAGCATCATTGACAAGAATATATTAAAGGAATTGCAT